GGTTATGAGATGTCACACATAAAAGAAGGTGGTTCCAGAGGACAATGTGAGGGGATCAACGTTAATACAATTCATCCTCTGGGGACCATGAATGTCTTAAATCCATCTAAGAGTTGTTGAGACATTTCAATAAGAACCAAAAATGCCAACCTCACATGGCGCTACAGGTAAAGTCAGGGGATCACTAAAGTCATAAGAATGTATCTTCTGTGGACATTTGAATTGGAGAACAATCGATCTGATCTTCTCTGGATCTCCAAATTTGATAGGGTTTATCCTCTGAGGAACATAATTATTCAAAGTAAATATCATGGCAATCCAACAGTCAATTTTAGAAAATCTAGACATGTAACGTGCCTTTTTAAAAATGTATTCATATCCAAAGCAATTATTTTATCAAACCACTTTTTCTCATCATGTCAACAGCAAATATTCTTCCTGCACTTGAAGACACAACACCTCAAAATGGTAAAAAGACTCCGCGCCCTGACTCCATTCAGCTCTACATCCTGTTATCGGCCGCTTTTGCCATTTTGTGTGTGGTTCTGCTGCTGTTGGTGGTGGGACTACTTCAGTGTCGGAAACATAGAGGTAAGCAATAAAAGTGCTTCGGAGAAATATAGGTGTAGTTTCTTCTATATATACTGTATATTGGTTCACTCCTTGCAGCCCACTTTCACCAACCCTATGTAAGAAAAGCAGACAGACAGAAAGATGTAAAAGTACAGAACCTTTCTTGTAGCACGGCATTTGTCCATATTTGTAGATAGGTACACATGGTACGTAATAACATCCTGTTCTCATTCCAAGAAGTCAGCAATGACTTATTTCAAGTTATTTAACTTACGTAACTGATGTAACTAAGGAATTATTATGCAGGTAGTGCGCCTCAGCAAAAGAGAAAACAAGGTAAGGTAGGTTTGGGTGGTGTATTATATACTGTGTGTGAGAGTTTGGTTCTTGTTACACACTGCAACCGATGTCTTTAACTTACTAACCATAATCAGAATCTTTCCCTTACCTTTGTGTTTTTATGCCAAACCCTTATCCCTAACTATAGGTTATTTGTCAAAACCACAGTATTTCCCTAACCTTTCCCATACTGTAGTTGCTATATGTAAATATTGTAGAAGGTGAGAATTTTAAAAATGCTGACATAGAAACATTGTCATTGAAACTCATCTGGAGTTTTGCAGAATCGTGCAGTGAAAAGTTTTTTTTCTCTTTCAATCGAATTTATTATATTTTTTTACTATGAAATCCTGATTTAGAAGTTTATTAGTTCTCGGATTCATCTGTATTTATTTATTTTATTGATGTCATTATTTTTCTTTTTGTTGTACAGTAGCATGCTTTTCCTCTGAGATGCCAACAACAGAATCAGAACAAGGTGAGTATCATAATAGTTAATGAACACAAAGTATTTAAATTGTACATTACAACCCAACTGGTCGAGGCAGACAGCCACCCACCTAGAGCCGGGGTCTGTCCGAGGTTTCTGCCTCTTAAAAGGACGTTTTTCCTTGCTGCCGTCTCCAAGTGCTTGCTCATGGTGGGAACTGTTGGGTCTCTGTAACTAATTTTATAAGGAGTACAGTCTAGACCTGCTCCATTTGAAAAGTGTCCTAAGATAACTTTTGTTATGAATTGGCGCTATATAAATAAAACTGAATTGAACGGAATTACTGTCATTTAATTTAGGTAAGAATAAAGGTTAATTAGCCTTTAAGCCTGATTACCTTCCTTCTTATACTTCATTCTCAGTGTCAGTACTGTAGTTTACTACCAACTCCACTATAATCAAAATGCTATCACTTGATTCAATGTAACATCAAAACGTATGTGTGTCTGTCATAATGCCACTCAATACTAATTTTGTTTTTGTTGTTATTCTCATTTATTTTTCAGTGTATGAAGTTGCCAGTGAAACTGATCCACAATTAGATGCACATGCTAAAGTGAAAAAACACAAGAAGAAGAGAGGTATTTCTTTCATACTGTCTTATAATTTTACAAATATTCACTATTCACTATTCACAACATGTTCAGGCAATACAGGAAGTTTGAGATTATCTTTTCACAAGACACGTAAGAACACAGATATGTTAGGTTTTATGTTGCTTTTGGTTGGACTGAGACAAGTGAGCAGACATTTAGAGCTGTAAGTTATATCATAGCTGAGTCTTTCGAAGAAATCTTTAATTTGAGCCAGGCAAGGGGCAGACTTTGGCAAATCCTATATAAGTAGGATTAACAAATAGTATATATTTTGAAATATAAAGTTATAAATGTGTCTTACAAATGGGCTTTCGTGCATACCTCTCTCACAACTGCTAACAACTAATTATCCACCTAGATGCTCAGCCCTTTTTATTTAGTTCTATTTTTACCTCCTGTTGAAATAAATGATAACAGAATATGTTTTTATGTTTCAGGTGGTAGAGAGGCAAATGCAGTGGATCACACTACGGATGTGACATATGCTACTGTTACAAAGTGGAAGGAAAGAGGTACTTTATTAACATTATTTGACTTATTACTTCCTTAATAGTTTATTGAAAGTGAAGCACACACCCCATAAAATGTTTGATGTTGCAAGTTATGTCTGAATTTTAATGAATGAATTATAATGATTAATAATAGTCCAGTTCAAGTTGACTGAAGTTGTAGTTTGATTCCAGCCAGTCACTAGGCGTCAAGTGAGAGCTTCATCACCCAGCATCAGTGTCTATTTTTGAGAGTGAGCGATTCTTATAGTGGAACAATGAAACCACCTGTCTGCATCTGCTCTGTTCTACTCTGGTCACACATCTACAATGGCAGAGCTGCTAGCTTTTAAATATGTTAACTGTGGTCAACTGCTAATGGCATGCATTTAGCATTAGATTTGTTTCTCTTGAAGAAGACACATTGAATGATAGATGTTTAACTTTATATTTAGGTGCCCTTTAAATTATGGCAGGTTAAACTTGCAATCTCAAAGGTTTAAATTTAAATAAATATCTGTCACTTCCACTGTGTAGTCAGCCAGCCAATATATAAATGCAATCATATTTTATTGGATTATCAGAAAAATAAATTGTATGTCATCTGCAAAAGTATATTTTCAATGCAACATACTTAAGTTATGGATATGTGTTTTATAATTTTATCTTCATGTAGACTTGTCTAACAATGGCTAACAAAAAATTACTGCCTATCTGCTAGGAAAGGTGACTCATTTGTGTGTATATTTTTAGTTTGTCTGTTGAAATACTGGAAAACAGTAAATCTTTGTTTTTCTTTTATATCTCAGTTTCCAGAGAGGCAAATGTAGCTACATTACATACCCGGTTTATACAAAAACAAACAAGTTATCACTCAAGCATAAACAGTTTTTTATATGTTTCCCTCAATGAGCAAGTTTTTAGTATGAAGGCCCTCGACACTTCATAACAGGTTTTACTCAACGACGTATTACACTAAAAGTTCAGTCCTTTCTTAGTATGAACTACATTGACACCAAATATAATTTAATGGAACTATTTATCATGCAACCCCTAGTTAATGGCAGACGACTGAAGTAAAACCTTATTAATAGTTTGGTCACCATAAAACATAGAAACCTTGTGAAATCTCACAAGTAATCATTTGTTTAAGAATGAGTTTTGCGTGCTGTTAGTGAATTTGGTTTGTCCAGGTGTGATAGTTAAGATGTGTGACATCCTATCTAGTTAACAATGAATATATTGGCCCGTAGGAGACTTACCCAGACTTAGTCCAAAGATGTCAGCGTCACAGCTTAAATACCTACCATCGTTTTTTGGAAGTACCGAAATTAAAGTAGTATGCCGTACTTATGTTTAATACCTGGTATTAATATAGGGCAGCCCCAATTAATATTGTATACTATTAATATTATTGTGCACAATAAAAATGATACATTAGATAAGTCTGGCCCTTATATTTCAAATATTATTTATTACCTGTAGAACATTCCCTAAATAGTATAGTTGCATGTCACAACAAATATTGTCTTTAAAGCAAGAGTCTTTTACTCCGTACTCATTCTCGAAAGATCTCATTGATGTTCTCCTGTCGGTGACCCTGAAAGACACCAGAACCCTATAAGTCAACCATGTGAAAAAAATTAACATGCATTGTAGAAGAGAAATTGACATTGCTTAAGGACTTAATCAAACTTCCACTTGTGTATCAGTATGAATTTGCTGTTGATTTTGTATATCATTTTTATGCAACATGAAACATCACTTTATAACTTATTTATGCTAATTTATTTAGGGCAAAATTAAGGTTTCAATGTAACTGGCTATCAACTGCAATCATTAATCTATTTTAAATTAACTTAACATTTATAAGAACAAACTCATTTTCATTAAACTCTCTCTCTATCATAGCCTCGATAAGCCGCTGAGCTTATGATTGCTGAAAATAACTAAAATTTGCTAACTTTGACACACTGACCTAATAAAGAAGTTGACCTTTTGTGATAATGGTGATGTGAAGGCTGTAAAAAAAAAAAAAGAAGAATAATTCTGTACAGTAAGAATACCTGTCTGCTTCTGCCTGTTTTTGCACAGAATGCGTAATATTCATGTGATTCCA